TATATAATAATAAAATTAGCTTACATGATTGTCAAGCTTGGACGATTTTTTGTATAGTTGTAGTACAGGTTCCATTAGACCGCTCAGTTTACTGTGTAAGTACAATTTTTAAGAAATTAATGTGAAGATTCATAATTAAAGATTGGTATCAAAATTTAAGTCACTTACTTGAAATTTAAATGAAAATTATTAGACACGACAACTCTGTTTGCAGACAGATGTAAAATGAGATTAAGAAAAGCAGTGAGCAACGGAACCTATACCCAATGACAATATGTATAAAAAGTAAATACTAAATAATATATAAAAGAAGAAAGATAATAAAGGATAGTAGCATTACGTCCTAGAAAATAAATCTATATATAAAGGATCCAGAGAGAATGTGTCATTTTGTAAATTCAAGTCTAATTTTTGTTCTTTAATATGTATCATCTCTGATATCAGTCTTTTATTTAAAATTTGTTCTTTGTCCAAAATATATCCCACTATCCCAATTAGATTAATAAGATAAGTACGATGTTGTGTAATTACATTGATTATCTTACATTTTTTAAGAGATTGTTATTTTTTGCTTGCCTCTTCGTAATAAATACGGTAACTTCATATTTCCCTGATATAATACTTTTTACACGCGTAAATTTTTTCTCTAGAGTCTAGATTGTGGTTATCCATGATTCTACGAATTTACACTTGATTTCGCGGACTCACGATCTTACGTTCTTCAATTTGACAACACCGCCTTTCTCGGATATAAAGTTATAAGTTCTCGGTTTCGCAACGACTCTTGCGTGATTTCGCGGAGTCCTTTACTTCGGCAGATCCTTGAATACTTCACGAGTGAGGCGACTATTAATAGAAATGCGAATCATGAAGCGGGATCGTATGGGGCAAGGTTGCTAAAGGAGCGCCGTCGCCGTCGCCGTCGCCACGACCGCGACTTCGCGAAGTCGGCCGCGCCGTGTACGCGGCTACGCGCCTATTAATAAACAAAATTAATCGTATTTGCACAGATGTAATGCTGCAGAGCGCACGATGTCGCATGATGTGCACTTGATTCAATGAGACGTGATAGTTTGATCGGGGAATATCCGACGTATCTAATCAAGCTAATAATGGTTGAGATATTAATCAACATTACCTAACGATAATTTGATTAGCAAATGAAATATCGTATCTTCAACGCGATGTATCTATACCACCTACAAAATATTAAGAATTAAATTGATAATAATAATAGCTTTATTGAACGCTTTACAGAATTATAGTTAAATTGAAAGCAACGAGTATAGTGCATGACAAAATATCATAAGCATATTACAATAGGCGTGACTGATTTGATGGCTAACTTGAATGATAACAACGATAAACGTATGAAAGTAATACAGTTAACTGAATGCAAAAATATTCATATATACTAAACAAAATATAAATTACAGCTTTCTAGTAATATAAGAATATCAGATAAACTCAACGGGCAATACGATAATTAGATGAACAAATTATAATTATAAAATATTTAAGAAAAAGAAAGACAAACTCGTAATTCGATGAACAGTATATAAACAAGATAAATTAACGTAGAACAAAGATTTAATGGATTGAAATTTAATTAATAGAGAAATTAATAGAGAAATTTAATTAAAAATTAAGATTCTATTATTTGTTTAATTAATAGATTTAAAAAGCTATTATGAAAAAAATTGGGTTTTTAACCTTTCAAGCGAAAATTTTTATAAATCTTACAGCTTTTCCTTAAGTAAAGTGTGTGTGACGTGTGTGTGTTTGTTATAATTCATTATTTTATTATATGTTTGTCTCAAAATATGACCGTTTTAGCGCCATCATAATAATGGCTTTCTCTTCCCATAAATATTAATGCTAGTGAATAGTAAACACTAAGTGCATTAAAGCTTAGTTTATCTAATCCTGCTCATATAATACACACTAAGTGCATTACTTACTAAAGCTCGTATTATATAATCCTTTAATTCTATTGATTATTACGAGAATATTTACAATTATACAATTTCAACTTTAGTTCCTGTTACGGAATAGCCTGAATTGCTTAATAATACTGTTCCTTCGACATGGCATCTCTGTATCGATTTTCCTCCTCGGTCCTGTAATCACGACCGAGAGATTCCCAGCAGCCGAATTGCGGGCTTGATGCTGGACATCGCGCGGCTCGCCACGGCCCATGTCGAGGCCGAGGCCGACCGAGTGATACCGAGCCGGGTCGAGCAGAGCCGAGCGGACAAGCTTAACGAGCTGACGATGAGCGCGTACGTTTCGTTGCGACGCGACGCGGCGCGGCTACGCGCGGCTACGCGTCGCGATAAAGCCGACGAGCAAAGCGGATGCGCCGCTTCGCAGCGGGTGACGTGACTGCAGCTGCACGCCCATTCAGTAGCGGACATACATTACTTAAACGCCAAGGCGCATTCGTTTTCAGTGTATGAAGGCTTTGCCCATTTAAAGCGGAAAGTTTCTTTAATTTGTAAAAAAAAAAAACAGAATTGAAACGATCTCTGACGAAATATTGCTTGATTGAATATTTAAAAGCTATTAATTTTTTAAAATTGATGTCAAAATCTGTAATACACCTATACTGTGTACTGATCCCGAGTCCGTAAAATCATTTAATGTGCGTTAATTAAAAAGCACTAATAATTAATTAATTTCAAGAAATTAGAATGATGTATAAAAAAATTAATTCTTTTCAGTCGACGCAAACTAAAAGTAACATAAATCAATATACAGTTTCTCACTTAACAATAGGTCTGTTCTTTTTGATCTATTTTTTTTTTAGTTCATATTCCTTTCTTTTCTCTCCAGGAATAAAGAAAAGGAGAAAAGATGAATTAGTGCAAAAGTGCAGCCAAAAAGAACAAGCCTAATGTGAATTATTAATTGTAGGTAAATATATTTTAATAAAAATGATCATTAAATTTGTAGATATAACATAAAGAAAATTGAATTGTGTGACAGAGATTTGTAATCGAGTAAATGTAATATAGACTCATTGTTAGCTTCGGGGGGTTAAATCTGTGTTTAAAAGATGCTCAACAAGCTGCAACGCGGAGTTGCCTTTTATAACAGTTTAATGTTATTTTAATGTTGTTACGAGCTCAAAATGATAATTTAAAACGCAAAAGTTTCAATAAAATAAAAGAAAAAAGGTTGCTTTCTTAAAAAAAATAATGAGATCTTGTTGTTATTGATATTCTGAGAAAAAGTAATTTTATTCTATTAAGTTATAGAGGTTATCAGATTAAAAGGCCAATTATATTTATAGTCGGATTTTATATCTACAATTTTCTTATATATATAAGTATATAATCTTATCTAAAATACAATCTTAATCCTTAATAATTAATTTTGAATATCACATGCATGATGATCTTCCGGATCTCTTACTCATGATGGATCATTTACGTCGAAGTTAATTTTCATCACATTTAGATATATACAAAAATTATTAAATGAACAAATTCCTATTCGTTAGATTGTATATATATGTATATATATTTAAAAAAGAAGGAATAGAAACTACCCAGACGATATTACGTCCGCATTTTGGGCATAATGTTGTCTATTCGTTATTTAATCAAGTGCTCCTAATATGTCATAGAAAAGAAATGCGTAAAACACGAAGGACCTGATCGTATATACTATTAAAATGTCATAAACCATTCACAGATATTCATAGTCGATACATATATTTAAAAACTATCTTAAATACAGTCTTTCTCTTAAGAAGTCATAAATCAAGCAGATGCCCGCTTCGCATATTCATAGTCTGTCCTTATATTTAAAACTTTCTTAAATTTATCTTCAGATACCCTATGAATTATTTTATTGGCTACCGGAGTATCTAAAGATAAACTTAAAAGGAAGCTTAAAATATAAGACCTGATTATGAATACGAGCAAGAAAGTCATATTAGTATCTTGAGACATTATCTAAAACGGTCTTGAAATAAGGATCGACTATGAATACCGACCATAGAACCGTGTTAGTCTCGCTTCAAACGTTACTTGATCATGAAACAAGAATGAACACCCCGAATCAGTCAAACACAAACTGTAACATTATATCAATATTATAATTTCCTATTTAATAATATAAATGTAATATTGTATAACACATATTCTACATAACAGTTACATCGTTCAGCAGGAAATTCTATTAATATAATGTTACTGCAAGTTTATGTTCAACAGAAAGCCATCAGAGAAAATAGCTATGCTGTTAAGGGGTTGATGAATTGTTGATTCCTCTGACTACGGATATGATTCTGTAGAATCAATATTTGCGTTCAGCAGAAAAAAACTTAATCAGTTGGCACTTAGTGATTCTTTAATAATTGATTTTTACTTTAAGTTTTTTGCTAAATTTAAGTATAGAAATCAATCAGGCGTTAATTGGTTAGTTTTCACTGCTGAAAACGCAGCCAATGTTATCTCTCCGCGAGAGTAGTTTCAGCCCCTTTTATCGAGTTGCATTCGATTCCACGAATACTCCAATTAGTGTCCTAATATCATAGATAGGCAATCCGTTCGTTATCCGCTCCAGGCTCACGTGTACCTCCGCCCCTGCTCGCTCTTTCGAGCGCCCGCGCCGGTGGTGGTTTACTCGCTCGGCGTCAACCCGCTTCCCTCCCGCCTACCCCTTGCCATGCGCGTTCTCTCTCTGTCGCTCGCTCGCGCTCGCGCGCTCGAAAGGCAGGCGAGACGACGCGTTGCCGCGCCGCGCGGAGCCGCGCGGAGACGCGCTGATTGTGAGTCGAATCGAGTTGGGTCGAGCCGCGCCGAGCGGTGCCGAGCGGGACCGAGCACTGGGGTCGAGCGGAGCCGAAGGCCCCGTGGTGGCCGCGACGCGCGCGAGTTAGACCACACCGCTGGAGCGTGTGTGTGCGTGCGTGCGCGTTCTGTCCGCTTTTCGCTCCGTTCCTCTTCGCTTGTACTCTCCTCTGCCCGGCCGCCCGGAGCAGGACACGGTGAGAGTGCGTTATTGTCCTTGGAGCGCGTTGCCAGCGTCAACCATCAAACGTGGTCATTATTGTTTGTTATTTTCGTTAATCGCCGTCTACGGTTCTTGTCGCGTGTGTACGCCGCATCCTTCCCTACTGGCCCGCGCGCGTGCATGGACGACGCGCGCGCACGAGCCGACGAGGATATAGCCCTGGATTCGTCCCGTTTACGCTCGTCTGCTCGGCTCGGCTCCGCCGCGAGCATCGCCGCTGCCGCTGCCGCTGTCACTGCCACCGCTGCCTCCGTAGCCACTACCACCACCTCCGCCACCTCCTCGACCGCCGCCGCCACCTGCCGCGTCGCGAGACGCAAGAAGAAGAAGAGGAGGCGTCAGCGACTTGTTACGAGCAACGACGACGTGCCTGGCGTCGCCGTCGTGGTCACCTCCCGCGGCGCTGCTACATCGAGTAGTAACGTCGCCGTAGCCGAAGACAACACCGACGACGCCGTCGTTGTCCTCGAGCCTGACACCGACGACGCCGTCGTCACCGCCGCCGCCGCTGCCGCTGCCGCCGCGAACGCAGCTACCGCTGAGGCAGACCCAGCGGCGGCGCGGGTCGATAAACTGAGGAGCCGCCTTCACGGCGAGCAACACACCGCGGTCGGTGGGGAGGCTCAACAGCAGCTACGCGTCGGAGGAAGCGGCACGCGTGCGGCCGCCTCCTCCGTCGGCACCGCCGGCGTCACGCTTCTCAACCGACGCGCCGGCAAGCGCTCGCCACGGCGATGCAACGCCGCCGGCGGACGTAGAACCGCGATGACGATGGACCTGCAGCGGCTGATCAACGAGGTGCACGCGAGACCCGCGATCTGGGACCAGAAGAATGTCAACTATCACAATCGCGATGTCATCCTGAAGATGTGGCGGGAGATCGCGAGGGCATGCGAGGTGTCGAGTAAGTATGAGGACCTAGAAAAGGACCACCCCGGCCTCTGGAAATTCTGGGATCCCTGGATCGACGGATGATGCTCTTCCTCTTTACCCCGCTCAACGTCCCTGTATTCCCTGTAATGTAATATATATTTTGCGTGGGTGGGTGGGATACGCTAGGTAACGTCGATTGGTCCGTACAATGTTCATATGATTGTTGAGCTTCGCGACCCTGAGGTCGTTCGAGATATCTCGCTGTGCGTAATATGAATCAAAAGACGAAGACTAACGAGATGGAGAAAGAAACGGAGAAAGTGAAAGAGAGAGAGAGAGAGAGACAAAGTCCGAGTAAAGACTCGAGCGGGTCGCCGCGATTGCGGATCAGTACCGGACGGCCGCCGAACGCGAGCACGAATCACTCGTTAGAATCACGCTCGTCTCTGGAAGGTCGATAGCTCGCGAAAGGAGAGGCCGGCCAGAGAGATAGACTACTAGTTCACGCGGATCTCCGCCAGGTTGCACGTCGATACCGTACGACGGATTCTGGCATGGATTACCTTTTCTCCTTTTTTTTTCCCGCGAAGATATATGTATGTACATATGTACATACAACACGATTGCTCGCGGTAGCACGTGCACGCGGAATGCTAACGCGTCTGTCACGACAAGCGAAAGTAATGCCGATTGTAGGATAATACTCTGGGGAAGAATGCAGATGCATTTTTTTTACAAAGTACACGTATGATCGTGAGAGTAGTTTGTAAAGTAAAATAGCTTAAATATGCTGAAATAATGGAATTAGTTACGAATAGCTATAAATAAAATTAATTCGATAGATCCTTTGCCATAAATACTTATTCTAATTAGAAATACAACATAAAGACACGTTATAGCTATTTTATATATACATATATCATGTTATAATTTTTACATATTTGATTTTATAACACCTCACATTACAAACTAAAGAAAAATTTAACGAATGAAGCTAAATTTTTTATTATATATTTGATTCTCTAACACGTCTCATTACTAAAGTAAAGTTTAACGAGTAGCAATTAAATTTTGGCTGGACAGAAATATTGAAGATACAGTTTCTGTGTTTCTGGTAGTAGATATAGTATTCAAGTAGAACAAAAAGTCATAACGACATCAAAATGACTCCAAAATGATTATTAAAAGTCACTTTTTTTTAGTCACTATTCATTCTAATGTCATTTTGACAGTACCGTGACCTGTTGTTCTGCTTATATATAGTCATTATACGTTCATTAACGATTGTTCTTTCTAAGTCACGTAAAGACGTGTTGATCGCTCTGTTCCAGCGGATGTTGCCAAGTCGAAATGGAAACACCTACGCGACAACTTTCGGAACGAGCTGAAAAAGACCTACCGGGGTAAGTGCGACGGTATCGGCGGCACCGAGCACGACTCTAAGTGGGTCTGGTTCAAGAGCCTATTTTTCCTGCGGGACCAAATGAACTCTAGAGTGATCGGCTGTGCTCTATCACAAAACTGCGCCGGAATGCGTTCCTCGCCAGACGGCACGCAGATCGAACCACAGATCGACATTCTTGAGGGCCACGAGGAGACTCAGTTCGATGACTTGGACGGTGACTCTTGCCAGTCATTGCTATCCAACGACGATGGCCTGCATCAGGTGATGCCGCCGCCGAAGATGAACAAGATAATCAGTCGGAAGCGAGCGCTAATGGATGCGATCGATAACGAATACGGCGTGGAAGTGGATCGAAAGCGGTACGAGTCGCTGCAGAAGAGACTGGCGATCGGTCCTGAGGACGAGGACGACACCTACCATTTTCTCATGAGCGTACGAAATCCCCTGAGAAGCCTGTCACTCGATAGGCAAATGTTCGTCCGTCTCAAGATCCAGGAGTTGGTCTATAACGAAATCAACTCGCAAAATCAACAGCAGACCGCAAGCCGCGGTATCTACGACGCTTCCTCACAGGGCCAAGATGTGAAACCCCCACGCTCCGGTAATGGCGGCAACGGCGCCGTTGGCGGCGACGTCGTCAGCGACATGGCGAATCCGGCGTCGTTACTACAGAACTGTACGCCCGAAGGCTCCGGCGACGATGCCTTCTTCGGCTGACGAGAGCCCGTTTGCTGTTTCATTCGCTAATAGGAGGACATAAGAATTATAATTTTAATAGAAAAATAAACGATGGTATTTTTTCAAAAACCTTCGCACAATCTTTGCGTGCTTTTTTTCTCATCCTATACATATATTATAATATTCCACTTCCACAATTCCTTTTAACAGCGAAATTTTTTCGTCACTTTGGAGAACTGACTGAAAATATCGCAAGAGAATAAACTTTTATTTTACATCATCCGTAATTTTTTTAATGTAATTATTTGCGTAGTGTTTCAAACATTATTACATTTTAATTTTTATTATTCTTTAAGTGATTTTTACAATTACATAAAGTTAATAATTCTATACATTCTTTAGATAAAAATAAATGTCATTTTTTTTTTTTTAAATTATAACGCAATTTGTATACAAATACAATGTATAAATAACATTTATATATATGTAGTAAATATATAAGACTGGAGTGTCTTGAATAAATCCCACGCGAGTAATGAAGGGTTAAGAGCAATGCTCACATTCACAATTCTAAGGAAAAGGAATTATTCCCAACAGATCCAAGTGTTGCGTTTAATATCACATTAAAATAATCGAAGGAAAGTCATATAATTCACTATACATTGAAATATTTGCAAAACGAATACGCAAGAATATTCATAATAAAATTAAATAAATATCGCTCGACGTGCATATTTTCATGTCGCGGGAATGATACTTAAAATATCCTCGCCTTTGTCGTCGACTCGGCAAGCTTTTTAATTAATGAAGCACCAGCCGCCGGTACAATTAGTGTTATTAGCGCCCGCGTGGCTCACCTATCTACGTCACGGATAGAAACCTAATTATATTCTGCCGTGATAATTGATTTCTCGGTTCGCGTATTGCTGCATTTTTTCCTCTTCGTGATTAAAAGACGGATGTCAGAGCACCTCACGCTGTATTAAAACTGATCCAGCTTGATACATGCAGTGATCGGACTAAGAGAATGCAATGTGAGAGGATGCTCTAATCGAGGGAAAGCAATCTGGAGGGTGCGGAATTGACCAAATTTATCAGTGTCGACGTTCGTTTACTCTTTATTATTCCAAGTAGTCGCGCGTTAGTATACAATTATATATATCTCTCTAAATTCACCTATAAACTCCAAACTACTTAATGAACTTTTTTAAATACCTGAATAATGTTATATAGTAAATATAAGCTATATTTTAATCACAAATACATCATAAATTCAAGATTTTTGTTTTCAGCAATGACGAGAGCAATCGATCTTATTGCACAATTGTTTATAATATTATTATAAGTTATTGCATTATTAAACAAAATTGTATCGTATTATTATGAATATATTATTACATAGAACTTTATTGAATGGAGTATCTGTTTTAATCATTACATTATTATATTATTATATAAACAGAATTATTTTACATTATTATAAATTATTATTCTATTATTTAATATCATTATAAATTTCTTTAAGGACTTTCTTGTGACAGTCACAGTTTCAGTTTGTTCATGTGTGAATTCAGTCTCGAGTATATGTGTTAATAAGTCATAATTATAAGATGTAATTTAATAAGAGATTTTCACATTAGCATATACATATAAGGATATATTTATTAACGAAATAAATATATGACATATTATATAATACCCAGGAAACACATGTTAACCTATTTACGTCAGAGAATCAGCTTTTGCACATTGTGCGAGACTGGTCTTCCCTTTTCATGAATTCTAGCTGTTTCGACGAGTTTTCTGAAACCGACTAATGAGGTACGAAACATGAATAGAAGTATCACACCTGCGTCATTATGATACTTCTCGAGAATTGTAAAACCTCATACCATTGAAAAGACCATATTTCTTTCGTAAATGTCTACTTACCAATTTAAATGCTTTTTTACACGGATTTTTGAATAATTAAAATTGCAAGTAACGTTTTCGTAACCTTAGTATATGAATTATTTTCAATGTGCTTTTATAAACATTATATTTTTTTAATATTAAATTCAAAATAATCCTTTTTTATGAAATAATAAAAATATACAACAAAATTATTACGGTTAGACTTTCTATATTTTGATAAGAACTTTTCTAACAGACCGATCATGCTTTTTTAATATCGAAATAATGTTGATGGATAACGTTATATGCTTTAAAAATTAATATGGTATACCATTTTTCTAATATCTATATTTTTTCGCTACGCTTCGCGCTCGAGAGAGAACTGATGTGAGTATAAAATACGAGGGCGTGTAGACACGATTACTCCACCCTATGCGTTACAAGTGGAATAGAAAAACCGAGTTATTCTGCTCGTGCTGTGTTGATGGGTGGACATCGATCATTTAATGGTCACGAGTGTCGGGACAGCGCATATAGATCATATTTTCAAAAAAAGAAACTCACTTTATCACAACGGTGATTAAGTTTGATAGAAGATTGCGTCATTTTATACACGTATTTTAATTGTACATATATATCACAATTTTTAAAAATTTTAGTGTTACACAAAAATATCTAATAGGGATTCTTAAGAAGATAATTTTTAGATGCTCAAATATTTGAAATTTTAGAAGAATAAAGAGTTTAGAAATATTAAAAAACATATTTTATTATTATGAATATTTTATCACTTGCCACAACGATGATTAAATCTGCTAGAATAACGTTGCTTTATATACATTAAATAAATTTAGTTATAATAAAATATATAAAATGAATTTAGTTAATGTATATGTACTGTAAGATAACGTTATCTCCTATAAAATTAATCATTGTTGTAGCAAGATAAAATATCCATAATGATAAAATATACTTATTGATGCATCTATCATAAACTCTTCATTCTTTAAATTTATAAAATTCTCTAGCACAAAAAATATCCTTATAAATTTTTAATAAAAAATTTTTATTAGAAATTGAGAAATATGATACACCAAAATATGTTATAGAGATTATTAAAGGGATAAGTGTATAATATTTTAGATAACAAATTTTACAGAGAAATTTAGAATTGAAAGAAAAAGGAGGTGTTTATTGTTTATTATATATTATAATAAAAATATATTTTAATGTTATACAGAGGACCTACTATATTTACCAAATTTGACGCGATCCTTCCTCTATAGAAATCTTTCCCTGAGCTCGCAGGGATTTTGTAACAAGCCGATACATCGTCGTTGATTCAATTTACGTAAATTTCACAACTCGATTAACGGCGATACTTCATCCAATCGCGTTATGTACCGACGTTGCCGAGCTAATGGACAGTTATTATGTCGTACTATCGTCCGACCAGCGAATAATGGCCGATGGATATTGCTGCGGATGGGCGATATGGAAGTGCTAATTTTGTTGTCGCGTCGGGTCTACGTCGAAATGCAAGGCGCGTATTGCGCTCCCTAACCGCTGGCTGCGTATACGCATGCACGCATGCATTGTCCCCGTGTATCACGGCGTTTGCCGTGTATCATCGGCAAAAGCCTTCTCGTTAGGCTATCGAGTGTGCTCCAATCCGACATTCATCACTTTTACTATTCTGGTGTGCCGACTGGTTGATTAATCGTTGATCCTCGAAAAAATTTATGTTTGCGTTGCGCTCCTAAATTTCGCGAAACTCCGCTTTTTGTTTTTTAACAAAAACACTTTGACAAACGGCACAAGGAAAGAACGATTTTCCTAAAATGCCCAAAAATTTAGATAGATGCAGATAATTAAAAATAACTTTTTGTTGTACTATCAAAGTAATTAAATATAAGTTAAATGCTTGTAAATAAGTTTCCGCGAGAAGTGTACGTGTGTGAGTAAGCAATATATTTTTAAGGCAATAAAATATAATTCGCGAACAATTATATTTATTAACAAACATAGCTATACAAATGTACCGACTCTAGAATTGAATCCTCCTCAGTTCGAAAGTGAAATATGCTGCAACAAAGCTATAAACAATAAGCATTTTTATTTTAATAGAATAATTGGAAGAAACTCAAACATAAAGATCACAGCTGTAAAAAGTTTTAACATTCTAGCAATCAGCTTGAACATCTTACACAACTATCATGATGATCTAACGAAATGGTTTTTAGATATTCACGGAAAGAACAATTCTGTTGAAATATTTAAAATTTTAGATACACATCTGAAAATAATTTTCTTGGACTATCAAAATAATTATGTAAAAAACGTAAACATAATGAACGAAGTTATAAGAAATTTTGATATTCTATAGCAATTAGCTTGAGCGACATACAAAATTGTTTTATTTAATGTCCAACAAAATATATTTTCAGATTTGTATGCAACTACATTTCTATTTCACATTGATACTTCAGCAAAACTTGTGCACGAATGATGTTTCTACTTCGAACCGATGTGGAGAAGCAATCTGATCGATAACGAAAGGGCGAGGAGTATCCTTCTGGAATTCTAGAGAAGAATTCGGAGAAGAGAGAAAAGTTAATCTTCTCAACTTTAAAAATAAATTCCCTCGAGTTTTTCTTAAGAAGTCAAGTAGACCACGTTGGTGGTGATCGTTCAATCTGCCGCCAAGTGTTTTTACTTGGATGCTGTACGCGAACATCGCGATAATCGCACCACAAACTTTCCAACTTGTCGGAGAGCCGGAAAGGTGTATATTTCAGCGCAACAGCGGCACGACGGAACGACGTGCGCTCATAGCTTCATCACGGAATTGTCGCATCCATTATGGGTGCAGCCTCTGTATTGACTAGAATAGTACGATATACGTTGATTCACCGTGACTGTTATAAGCTATATAACAACGTGATGCCACTGACACCGCTGGGTCCGCTGAATACAACGTATTGTGCGACGCCCCGTTCCGTCCCCGCTCTCGCGAGCCGTCCCGATAACGTCGTTCCTGAGTGAGTTTGTACTAGTTTCTGAGGTGGTTGCACCGCAACACTACCGGTTATTGAACATCGAAGCGACGCGCGCTATGAGTTTAATTAAACCAGGTTATTAAGGGACGACAGTGCGTCGCGTCGGGGCGAGCGCGCGCT